GGTGCTGAGCCTGAGCGTGCTGAGTCTGGAGGTCCTCCGGGTGTCCCGTCACGGCGGGAGCCCCTCTCTCCACAGCGGCTGCGTGAGTGGTACGCTCGGCGCTGTAGCCGTGCTGCTGGAGCTACGGGGCCTGCTGCTGGAGGTGCTTCTGGAGCTGGAGCTGCTGGAGGTGCTGCTGGTGCTAGAGCTGGTGCTGGAGCTGCTGGAGCCGCTGGTCCTGGAGGTGCTAGTGCTGGAGGTTCTGGCGCTGTTGGAGGTCCTGCTGGAGGTGCTGGAGCCGCTTGTCCCGGAGGTGCTCGTACTGGAGGTACTGGAGCTGCTGGGGATGGTGGTGCTGCAGGAGTTGGAGCTGGAGGTGCTGGAGCTGTTGCTGCTGGAGGTGCTGCTGGAGCCGGAGCTGCTGGAGGTGCTGGAGCTGGTGGTGCTGCGGGAGTTGTAGCTGGAGACCCTGGAGCTGAGGGTACTGGTGCTGTCTCTGCTGTTTCTGGAGGCGCTGCGCGGCCGCGGCCGTACTACGTTCCGCTCCTTCAGCAGGTTCTTGGTCTCCCGCCTTCTACTGGTCCTACTCCTCCCTTACTGAGTGCACCGCCTGTCCAGTCGCAGTCGCAGTTACAGCCAGCCTCTCCAGTGCCTGGTCCTTCTCCTTACTCTGGACCGACTAGAGGTCTTACGGAGCGGCGTGAGCCTGAGTCTCGTCCTGCGTCGCCTGAGTCTCGTCCTGCGTCACCTGAGTCTCGTCCTGCGTCGCCTGTTCGCGCTGTTCGCACTGGTCGACGTGTTCAGCGTCAGCGTCCTCCTCCTGTCCCCGGCACTCACTATATGACTCTGCGTCCTTCCACTGCTCCACAGCGTGTTCCTCTGCCGTCTCCTCATGCGTCCTCTCTTCGTGACGGTCCGGACCCGGAGTCTGACTCCCTTCGTGCTGCTAGTCCTACTGTCGCGCGTTTCCTGGCCACTGTTGTCACTGACCCTTCGTTTGAGTCCACTGCTGCGTCTGCTCTAGTTGCTGAGCTTGTTGACTTTGCTGCCGCCTGTCGTCTAGACTACGCCGCTAGCCTTGTTGCTGAGTCTGGGTCTGCGTCTGTCTGTCCTCCGTCCGTCGGGGGTGAGTGTGCTCTTGGCACAGACGTCCTTGAGGACAGACAGGAGGAGTTTGAGTGCTTTGCCGCTGCTTTACCTCATCTCGTGTCCATGCTGCTTGCCCCTGAGGGAGACCCGGATGCACCAGACATCCCGACCCCGCGCTCTTACGCAGAGGCGATAGAGGGTCCCTACTCCTCTCAGTGGCAGACAGCCATGGACACAGAGATGGCTTCCTGGAAGTCCACAGGCACCTTCGTCGACGAGGTTCCCCCGCCTGGGGCGAACATCGTCAGTGGCATGTGGATTTTCAGGGTGAAGCGGCCGCCGGGTTCTCCACCTGTCTTCAAGGCGCGTTACGTTGCACGAGGCTTCAGTCAGCGACAGGGAGTTGACTTCTTCCAGACCTTCTCCCCTACCTCGAAGTTGACCACTCTTCGGGTGCTGCTGCACGTCGCCGCTCAGCGTGACTACGAGCTACACTCTCTTGACTTCAGCACAGCTTTCCTACAGGGCAGCCTGCACGAGGGGATCTGGCTGCGCCGCCCACCTGGCTTCACTGGGTCGTTTCCTGCTGGTACCTAGTGGAGCCTCCGGCGGCCAGTCTACGGTCTCCGCCAGGCACCCCGTGAGTGGCACGACACGCTGAGGACGACTCTTGCTGCTCTTGGGTTTGCTCCTTCCACTGCTGACCCATCGCTGTTTCTACGCACCGACACCACTCTGCCGCCGTTCTACGTTCTCGTGTACGTAGACGACTTGGTCTTTGCTACTGCTGACACTGAGGCACTCGCCCACGTGAAGTCGGAGCTGCAGAAGAGACACACGTGCACAGACCTGGGTGAGCTGACAAGCTATCTTGGCTTGCGGATCACCCGGGACAGAGCACAGCGCACCATTACCTTGACTCAGTCACACATGGTGCAGCAGGTCCTTCAGCGCTTCGGCTTCACGTACTCCTCGCCACAGTCCACTCCTCTGCCTACCGGTCATTCGCTCTCAGCTCCACCTTCGGACGAGTCCGTAGAGCCGAGTGGCCCGTATCCAGAGCTTGTGGGCTGCCTCATGTACCTGATGACCTGCACTCGACCTGACCTTGCCTACCCTCTTAGCATTCTAGCACGCTATGTCGCTCCTGGCAGACACAGGAAGGAGCACATGGATGCTGCTAAGAGGGTGTTGCGCTACTTGTGCAGTACGTCGGGCATGGGGCTCGTGCTTGGAGGACGGGCTCGAGTTGTCCTCACTGGTCAAGGAGACGCTTCCTGGGCTGACGACTTGGCTACGCAGCGGTCGTCACAGGGTTACACCTTCAGCCTTGGCTCCGGCTCTGTCTCTTGGCGGTCTACCCGCTCGTCTTCTGTTCTCAGCTCCAGTTGTGAGGCTGAGATCTACGCAGGGGCCATGGCTGCACAGGAGTTACGCTGGCTCACCTACCTGCTGACCGACCTGGGAGAGCCGCCTCGTTCTCCTCCAGTGCTGTACGTCGACAACAAGGCCATGATTGCCTTGTGTCAGGAGCACAGACTGGAGCACAGAACGAAGCACATCGCTCTGCGCTACTTCCTTGCTCGTGAGTTGCAGCAGCGTGGTCAGCTTCGTCTTGCTTACGTGGCCACTCGGGCCAACACTGCTGATGTCTTCACCAAGGCGCTTCAGCCTTGTGATCATCAGCGGTACTGTACTGTTCTAGGCCTTGTGCCTACTGTGCCTCACTTGCTTACTTCTTGACTCTGCTTGTACTGTGATCTCTATACATATACCTGCATGCTTACACTTGCTAGGTTGTGATCACTGTATTGCTTGTTCTCCTTTATATAACTCTGCATGTGAACTGGCCTTGTGGCCATTTGCTTGTGCTCAGAATGCGTGGTGACGTCGTGATCCACCCTGAGCTTGTCAGAACTAGCAGTAGAAAGTATGAATGAAGAAAGGAGGAATTTCACTAGCAAGCAGTTGAGTACATATAGGAAACCCTAGATTGGGTTGTACTCGCTATAGAGCACCCCACTGCAGGCTAGACAAATACAACATTCTGACACACCCCCATAGTCAAAGTGGGGTGTAATCAGCACAATGAGCAGGTATAGCAGGAGTTCACAATAAGAAGCAAAGCTAGAGGTAATCACAGCGGGCAAGTGAGGAGGAGGAGGGACTGTGAGAGGAGAGAAGGTGAGAGACGGCGACTGAAGCTGCAGACACACGGGCAACAGGAGCTGCTGGCACAGTGGCTACCGGGACAGTGCGCCCCGGACTACTGGAGTAACTGGCTCACGGGCTACGACGAGCTACAGGAGCAACGGACCCTCGGGCGACAGGCGCAGCAGACTCTCTGGGCTACCAGGACAGTGCGCCCCGGACTACAGGTGCTGCGGACGACAAGACAGCAGCCTCCGCTCAACCTCCTCCAACTGTCCCACACACCCCCCACACACCCACTGCTTCACTCCTAACTCCACTTGCACGTCTGTTGTTGTAGAGATCAAGTGCCGATGATTTTTTGTTTATATGCGTTTGTTGCTTTTCAATGTAGGTCTTTGTCCAAGCCTTGAGTGTAAGGAATATGGAATCGGCATTTGGGAGAGGCCTCAGACATATCCCATTGGTGACTTCCGCAAGAGAGAATTGTTACTTACTTTATATTGGCTAAGTCCTTATTCCTTTCAAGTTTATCACCATCATATATATTTTAAATTGTTGAATAACGATTCAGATAAATCTGCTCAGGTGTACATATCCAGGTTTGGCCACACGACGTCATCAACTTTCAAGAACCTATGCGTTCTGACGTGTCACAACTTCGCGTCTGCGAACCAATGAGACGCTCGCGGAATCCGGAGCCCAATTCTTGACGTTTGCTGCCTTTGTTCCGCCTCTGGAGGCTGAAATCCAACCTTGAGAATCCACGCCTCTGAAGGAGTCGCGAAGCTTGGAGGTAATACTTTTTGGATCTCGTTTTCGGTCACCCTGTTGAGTACTGAATACGAACATTCTCCCACCATTCTCCCAAGCATTGCAACTTCCAACTTGAGTATCCCAACAGTTTGCATTTGGCTTCATCTCTTCGGTGCAGTCTCAGCGGAAATGTCTCATCATGTACTAAACTTTCGCCTAGATCACCCCAAAAACATAATTCCAGGGGTGTCTACCTATATATATTCCTCTTGTAACCAGGCGGATTCCCATTGGACAAACCAACACCTTTCCGAGCTCAACCCAACAACGGCAATTGCTTCTCCAATTGGTGTACGTGTATCGTTCAAGTTTGATAGAGGAGCAGCAGTTTAGAGCAGAACTGAACAAACCGGTTCGAAGTGCGCAAAATTGCACTCAACCTTTTACTGAACAAAAAGTTCATTTTCACAAGCACTCAAAACCCGAACGCCCAGTCATTTGGAAACTTCTCGTCCAACACTGAAGTGAAGCGAAGCTCAGTCGACTAGCAAAGCTCAGTCGACTGCGAATTATAGAAACTCTCAGACCAGGGCTACTGAAAGAAGAGCTAAGGAGTTACATACGGCGTGCATTCTGTACCTCACCTCATCTCCACTAGCTGCACGGCGTGTGATCAGCAAATCCTCAGAGACGAGCTACTGGTGAAGAGGATCGGCGGTGTGTATGAGCACCAGAGCAACGACGCGCTCTCATAGCTCTCTTTCAGAATGGTTACACCTCTCTCTAGTGGCTTATAGCCTCTGGTAAAACGTCAATCTCATCATCAGCGACAACATACTCGCGCTGGAATAGGCATCGGCAGGCCGTCGGACTCGCGTCAACGAGCAGCGGCACTGTTTCCCCTGACAAAAAACATTCGCTGCGCTTATCTTTGGCTCCAGATCGAGTACCACCCGTCATTTGTGCGAAGACTCTCGCAACCACTGCGGTAGGAAGCTCGCGGGTATTACTGCTCACGGGCGATCATGAGTATAGCGGCGCATTGCTCGCCATGTGGACTCGTCAAATGCAGCCCAGCCGCGCGTGGGCTGGGCGCCGCGGGCCTTTCAGTCGCGACGGTCTCGTCAGCTCCGTCCGTTTCGCCCGCTTCGCTCCTACTGCGTGCTCGTCAAATCGCGCCGACTGCCAGGCGAGACGCGTTCGGAGCCCGCGCATTCGCGACTGAATCTGCTGTTCCTCCCCGGAGACTGGCGGCGCTGTCAAGACCAAGGCGAGCCGCGACCTCAAGAACGCACGAGTCGGCCCACCGTTACAGACACCCGCTTGTGTTCTCGATAAAAGCCCGCGCGGACACCGTGACTATCGACGAGCCTTATAGCGAATCCGCGGACGCAGCGGAGGAGGGAGGGAGCAAGCCACGAGAGCAGGCGGAAAATCTTGCGGGGACTGCGGGGGAGGCGCGCGCGGCGGAAGAAGACGCGGGGAAGGCGGCGCCGGCGCGCAGTGGAAGTAGCAGTAGCGACACCGACGGAGGCGAGAAGCTGAGCCAGGCGACTCTGATTTGGCGCGCTGTGAAGCTGCCGATCTACAGCGTGGCGTTGATTCCGCTCATGGTGCGTGTGACTAGGGGGGAATCGAGAATTGCGCGAGTGGGATATCCTGCGTGGAAGGAGAGAGGGCAGACCCTGGATAAGGCTTCTTAAGGCTTCTTCTAGCAGACTTCAAATCAAAAGTAATCGTTTACTGCTGGAATTTCTCCTAAGGCTCTCTCGTCATCTTACGCCCCCCACACCCCCTCGCGTCCGTCTCGCTACTCTCGCCCCGCACGCTACTCTCGCCGCGTGCATTCTTCGTCCACCAGGTGGGAGCGTCAGCAGCATACCTACAGACTGGCGTTTTCCACGCGGGCAGATTCAACTCCTTCCTCCTCTTCTCCGTCCTCGTTATTGCGTGGCTCAATCTAAGGTACAGCACAGTGTCCTCTTCTCGCGTCACCCTCCCAGCTATTTTGCTTGTTCACATCTTCTCCAGTCAGCGACATTGGCCGTTTAAAGTTTCACGTGGAGCCATGGGAATTCTTGGTGAAGGCTCATCTTGTTTCCCAATCTCCGCCCGCCTGCCCTATCCTTGCCTCCCTTCTCCCTACTGCCTCCCTTCTCCCTTCTGCCTCCCTTCTCCCTACTGCCTCCCTTCTCCCTACTGCCTCCCTTCTCCCTACTGCCTCCCTTCTCCCTACTGCCTCCCTTCTTCTCCCTACTGCCTCCCCTTGGTGTGACAGTAACGATGGATTCGATTCTTTCACTGGCGTGGATAAGACGAAGCCAGAGTCTGTGGTCAACCTCACGGGCAGGTAAGTCAACCTGACTGGTGGGCGGGTCAACCTGACGGGCAGGTGGGTCAGCCTGACGGGCAGGTGGGTCAACCTGACGGGCAGGTGGGTCAACCTGACGGGCAGGTGGGTCAACCTGACGGGCAGGTGGGTCAACCTGACGGCCAGGTAAGTCAACCTGACGGCCAGGTAAGTCAGCCTGACGGGTGGGTGAAGAATATGCACGCATTTCTAGTTGGACCCATGTTCACACTCCATCCATACACGGCACTGTGCATGCAGCTGAAACGTCTCTCCGGTTGAGAGAACGAGGGTGCTGGGCTCGCAAGAAAGAGGGAGTAAGAGCATAGGTTGATTTTGAAGTCAACAATGAAATCACTTCCACTGGAGCAGTATCCATTGGGTAAGTAGATTGAATGTGAATGAAAGGCGACGGTAGCCTGACTTGGATGAATGGCTTAAGAGAGTCGTTTTGAAGCAACAAAAGCAAATTTCCCTCTGTTGCTCGTTTACCCGTCTCAACCTCGCTCCTATCCAACCTTCACCACTCATGTTTTCCACTCCCCTCTCCTTCTCTCTCTCCCTCCCCCCTCTCCACTCCCCTCTCTCCCATCCCTCTCCTCTACTGCCCTCCCCTCCCGCCGCACTCACCCCTCCCCTCCACTCCCCTCTCCCCCTTCCTTCCTCCCCCCCAACCCCCCCACCAGTCGCTTCCGAGTGCTGGCATTGGCCTTCCTCCTCCTGGGGCTGGGCCTCGCAGGGATCTTCTCAGGCGCGGCTGCTGTTGCGGATCCACGTGTCGGATGGCTATTGGCCGCCTCGATTGCCTGTGGATATGTGTATCAGGTGAGTGGCGGCTGTGTGTGTGTCAGGTCAGTGACTGCTGTTCTTTCAAGTGAGTTCTCGAGGCATGGAAGGAAGAACCATCAGCGTCCTCTCTTCCTCTATCATATAAGCCGCATGACTGCTCCCAGCAGTCTGGCATAACAGCTGACGACTGTTCACATAACATGCACCACATGACAAGCAACGACTTAAGCATACCGTCACGAGGTGACTTTTGAGTCGACTTGTTCACGTAACATACACCACGTGACAATGCAACGAATTTTAAGTATACTGTCACTCTCCTGCCCTTCTCCCCACACCCCTCCACGCACCACCACCCCCCACCCACACTACCTTCTCATCTAGACGGCTTCTAATTCCCTTTCCAATGTCCTTTCTGCAGAATTCATTACAATGCCCTTTTTCCCGTCCCACACACTCCCTTTCTACTTCCCCCCTCCTTCCCCTTTTCCCTCTCCGCATGCCGCCATTACCCCCCCTCTTCCTCCCCTTTTCCTTTCCCGCACACTCTCTTCTTCCCCCCTCTTCCTCCCCTCTTCCTCATTCCAGTGTCCGCCTTTCCGCCTAAGCTACAAGGGATTGGGCGAGCCCCTGTGCTTCCTGGCCTTCGGCCCCTCTGCTACCACTGCCTTCTACCTGCACCAGGCCAGGTGAATGTGCAGCACAGCCAGGTGAATGTGCAGCACAGCCAGGTGAATGTGCAGCACAGCCAGGTGAATGTGCAGCACAGCCAGGTGAATGTGCAGCACAGCCAGGTGAATGTGCAGCACAGCCAGGTGAATGTGCAGCACAGCCAGGTGAATGTGCAGCACAGCCAGGTGAATGTGCAGCACAGCCAGGTGAATGTGCAGCACAGCCAGGTGAATGTGCAGCACAGCCAGGTGAATGTGCAGCACAGCCAGGTGAATGTGCAGCACAGGCAGGTGAATGTGCAGCACAGCCAGGTGAATGTGCAGCACAGCCAGGTGAATGTGCAGCACAGCCAGGTGAATGTGCAGCACAGCCAGGTGAATGTGCAGCACAGCCAGGTGAATGTGCAGCACAGCCAGGTGAATGTGCAGCACAGCCAGGTGAATGTGCAGCACAGCCAGGTGAATGTGCAGCACAGCCAGGTGAATGTGCAGCACAGCCAGGTGAATGTGCAGCACAGCCAGGTGAATGTGCAGCACAGCCAGGTGAATGTGCAGCACAGCCAGGTGAATGTGCAGCACAGCCAGGTGAATGTGCAGCACAGGCAGGTGAATGTGCAGCACAGGCAGGTGAATGTGCAGCACAGCCAGGTGAATGTGCAGCACAGCCAGGTGAATGTGCAGCACAGCCAGGTGAATGTGCAGCACAGCCAGGTGAATGTGCAGCACAGCCAGGTGAATGTGCAGCACAGCCAGGTGAATGTGCAGCACAGCCAGGTGAATGTGCAGCACAGCCAGGTGAATGTGCAGCACAGCCAGGTGAATGTGCAGCACAGGCAGGTGAATGTGCAGCACAGCCAGGTGAATGTGCAGCACAGCCAGGTGAATGTGCAGCACAGCCAGGTGAATGTGCAGCACAGCCAGGTGAATGTGCAGCACAGCCAGGTGAATGTGCAGCACAGCCAGGTGAATGTGCAGCACAGCCAGGTGAATGTGCAGCACAGCAGGTGAATGTGCAGCACAGCCAGGTGAATGTGCAGCACAGCCAGGTGAATGTGCAGCACAGCCAGGTGAATGTGCAGCACAGCCAGGTGAATGTGCAGCACAGCCAGGTGAATGTGCAGCACAGCCAGGTGAATGTGCAGCACAGCCAGGTGAATGTGCAGCACAGCCAGGTGAATGTGCAGCACAGCCAGGTGAATGTGCAGCACAGCCAGGTGAATGTGCAGCACAGCCAGGTGAATGTGCAGCACAGCCAGGTGAATGTGCAGCACAGCCAGGTGAATGTGCAGCACAGCCAGGTGAATGTGCAGCACAGCCAGGTGAATGTGCAGCACAGCCAGGTGAATGTGCAGCACAGCCAGGTGAATGTGCAGCACAGCCAGGTGAATGTGCAGCACAGCCAGGTGAATGTGCAGCACAGCCAGGTGAATGTGCAGCACAGCCAGGTGAATGTGCAGCACAGCCAGGTGAATGTGCAGCACAGCCAGGTGAATGTGCAGCACAGCCAGGTGAATGTGCAGCACAGCCAGGTGAATGTGCAGCACAGCCAGGTGAATGTGCAGCACAGCCAGGTGAATGTGCAGCACAGCCAGGTGAATGTGCAGCACAGCCAGGTGAATGTGCAGCACAGCCAGGTGAATGTGCAGCACAGCCAGGTGAATGTGCAGCACAGCCAGGTGAATGTGCAGCACAGCCAGGTGAATGTGCAGCACAGCCAGGTGAATGTGCAGCACAGCCAGGTGAATGTGCAGCACAGCCAGGTGAATGTGCAGCACAGCCAGGTGAATGTGCAGCACAGGCCAGGTGAATGTGCAGCACAGCCAGGTGAATGTGCAGCACAGCCAGGTGAATGTGCAGCACAGCCAGGTGAATGTGCAGCACAGCCAGGTGAATGTGCAGCACAGCCAGGTGAATGTGCAGCACAGCCAGGTGAATGTGCAGCACAGCCAGGTGAATGTGCAGCACAGCCAGGTGAATGTGCAGCACAGCCAGGTGAATGTGCAGCACAGCCAGGTGAATGTGCAGCACAGCCAGGTGAATGTGCAGCACAGCCAGGTGAATGTGCAGCACAGCCAGGTGAATGTGCAGCACAGCCAGGTGAATGTGCAGCACAGCCAGGTGAATGTGCAGCACAGCCAGGTGAATGTGCAGCACAGGCAGGTGAATGTGCAGCACAGCCAGGTGAATGTGCAGCACAGCCAGGTGAATGTGCAGCACAGCCAGGTGAATGTGCAGCACAGGCAGGTGAATGTGCAGCACAGCCAGGTGAATGTGCAGCACAGGCAGGTGAATGTGCAGCACAGGCAGGTGAATGTGCAGCACAGCCAGGTGAATGTGCAGCAGGTGAATGTGCAGCACAGCCAGGTGAATGTGCAGCACAGCCAGGTGAATGTGCAGCACAGCCAGGTGAATGTGCAGCACAGCCAGGTGAATGTGCAGCACAGCCAGGTGAATGTGCAGCACAGCCAGGTGAATGTGCAGCACAGCCAGGTGAATGTGCAGCACAGCCAGGTGAATGTGCAGCACAGCCAGGTGAATGTGCAGCACAGCCAGGTGAATGTGCAGCACAGCCAGGTGAATGTGCAGCACAGCCAGGTGAATGTGCAGCACAGCCAGGTGAATGTGCAGCACAGCCAGGTGAATGTGCAGCACAGCCAGGTGAATGTGCAGCACAGCCAGGTGAATGTGCAGCACAGGCCAGGTGAATGTGCAGCACAGGCAGGTGAATGTGCAGCACAGCCAGGTGAATGTGCAGCACAGCCAGGTGAATGTGCAGCACAGCCAGGTGAATGTGCAGCACAGGCAGGTGAATGTGCAGCACAGCCAGGTGAATGTGCAGCACAGGCAGGTGAATGTGCAGCACAGCCAGGTGAATGTGCAGCACAGCCAGGTGAATGTGCAGCACAGCCAGGTGAATGTGCAGCACAGCCAGGTGAATGTGCAGCACAGCCAGGTGAATGTGCAGCACAGCCAGGTGAATGTGCAGCACAGCCAGGTGAATGTGCAGCACAGCCAGGTGAATGTGCAGCACAGCCAGGTGAATGTGCAGCACAGCCAGGTGAATGTGCAGCACAGCCAGGTGAATGTGCAGCACAGCCAGGTGAATGTGCAGCACAGCCAGGTGAATGTGCAGCACAGCCAGGTGAATGTGCAGCACAGCCAGGTGAATGTGTAGCACAGCCAGGTGAATGTGCAGCACAGCCAGGTGAATGTGCAGCACAGCCAGGTGAATGTGCAGCACAGCCAGGTGAATGTGCAGCACAGCCAGGTGAATGTGCAGCACAGCCAGGTGAATGTGCAGCACAGCCAGGTGAATGTGCAGCACAGCCAGGTGAATGTGCAGCACAGCCAGGTGAATGTGCAGCACAGCCAGGTGAATGTGCAGCACAGCCAGGTGAATGTGCAGCACAGCCAGGTGAATGTGCAGCACAGCCAGGTGAATGTGCAGCACAGGCAGGTGAATGTGCAGCACAGCCAGGTGAATGTGCAGCACAGCCAGGTGAATGTGCAGCACAGCCAGGTGAATGTGCAGCACAGGCAGGTGAATGTGCAGCACAGCAGGTGAATGTGCAGCACAGCCAGGTGAATGTGCAGCACAGGCAGGTGAATGTGCAGCACAGCCAGGTGAATGTGCAGCACAGCCAGGTGAATGTGCAGCACAGCCAGGTGAATGTGCAGCACAGCCAGGTGAATGTGCAGCACAGCCAGGTGAATGTGCAGCACAGCCAGGTGAATGTGCAGCACAGCCAGGTGAATGTGCAGCACAGCCAGGTGAATGTGCAGCACAGCCAGGTGAATGTGCAGCACAGCCAGGTGAATGTGCAGCACAGCCAGGTGAATGTGCAGCACAGCCAGGTGAATGTGCAGCACAGCCAGGTGAATGTGCAGCACAGCCAGGTGAATGTGCAGCACAGCCAGGTGAATGTGCAGCACAGCCAGGTGAATGTGCAGCACAGCCAGGTGAATGTGCAGCACAGCCAGGTGAATGTGCAGCACAGCCAGGTGAATGTGCAGCACAGCCAGGTGAATGTGCAGCACAGCCAGGTGAATGTGCAGCACAGCCAGGTGAATGTGCAGCACAGCCAGGTGAATGTGCAGCACAGCCAGGTGAATGTGCAGCACAGCCAGGTGAATGTGCAGCACAGCCAGGTGAATGTGCAGCACAGCCAGGTGAATGTGCAGCACAGCCAGGTGAATGTGCAGCACAGCCAGGTGAATGTGCAGCACAGCCAGGTGAATGTGCAGCACAGCCAGGTGAATGTGCAGCACAGCCAGGTGAATGTGCAGCACAGCCAGGTGAATGTGCAGCACAGCCAGGTGAATGTGCAGCACAGGCAGGTGAATGTGCAGCACAGCACAGCCAGGTGAATGTGCAGCACAGCCAGGTGAATGTGCAGCACAGCCAGGTGAATGTGCAGCACAGCCAGGTGAATGTGCAGCACAGCCAGGTGAATGTGCAGCACAGCCAGGTGAATGTGCAGCACAGGCAGGTGAATGTGCAGCACAGCCAGGTGAATGTGCAGCACAGCCAGGTGAATGTGCAGCACAGCCAGGTGAATGTGCAGCACAGCCAGGTGAATGTGCAGCACAGCCAGGTGAATGTGCAGCACAGCCAGGTGAATGTGCAGCACAGCCAGGTGAATGTGCAGCACAGCCAGGTGAATGTGCAGCACAGCCAGGTGAATGTGCAGCACAGCCAGGTGAATGTGCAGCACAGCCAGGTGAATGTGCAGCACAGCCAGGTGAATGTGCAGCACAGCCAGGTGAATGTGCAGCACAGCCAGGTGAATGTGCAGCACAGCCAGGTGAATGTGCAGCACAGCCAGGTGAATGTGCAGCACAGCCAGGTGAATGTGCAGCACAGCCAGGTGAATGTGCAGCACAGCCAGGTGAATGTGCAGCACAGCCAGGTGAATGTGCAGCACAGCCAGGTGAATGTGCAGCACAGCCAGGTGAATGTGCAGCACAGCCAGGTGAATGTGCAGCACAGCCAGGTGAATGTGCAGCACAGCCAGGTG